TTTAATTCCCAATAAAACAATGTTGGGAGGTAGGACTTTTTAGAGGTGAATGGATAAATGCCATTATCACAGAAGTATATTTCTAATAAAAGAAGGAGTTTAGCCCCCCTATTCTTCCTCTACCCATGCATGCTCTTTTGCCCTTCTGCCTTTCACCATTGGATGACAATGTCATCATTGGATGACACAGCAAGAAGGCCCTTGCCATATGTGGTCCATCATTCTTGGATTATACAGCCTCCAGAACCATGGGTGAAATAAGTTTCTTTAAAAATTAATCATTCCATAGTATTCTGTTATAGCAGCATAAAACAGACTGAGACACCATGTTTCCCCTGCCATTGCTCTTTCTTCTCTGTTTCTCTAACACACACACAGAAACACTTTTCATTTTAGGGCCTCTGTACTTGCTGCTTCCATTGACCGAATAAGTTTCAGAAAATACTGTCATGTCTTACTGTCTCACTTCATTCACTCTCCTTATAGAGAGGAGTTAGCTTCCATATATAATCAACACCCTGTCCCCACTCACATTAGATATATTTTCTTTCATTGTCCAACTTTATTTTGCTTCAAAGCTCTTGTTATGACTTGATACATTGTTTATTTGTTGATTTTCTATTCCACCCACCACAAATAGTTTGGAAGCTTCACAAGATAGATTTTGTTTTCTCTATTGATGTCTCTAGAACCTGGTGCAGGGCAGGTATACATATTAGATGCTCAATAAATGTTTGTTTATGTATTTATTTACTATTTGAGACAGTCTCATTCGGTCACCCAGGCTGGAGTGCAGTGGCATGATCTCGGCTCACTGCAACCTCCACCTCCTGGGTTCCAGTGATTCTCCTGCCTCAGCCTCCCAAGTAGCTGAGATTACAGGTGGGCGCCACCATGCCTGGCTAATTTTTGTATTTTTAGTAGAGACAGTGTTTCACCATGTTAGCCAGGCTAGTCTGGATCTCTTGACCTTGTGATTCACCCACCTCAGCCTCCCAAAGTGCTGGGATTACAGGTGTGCACCACCACACCCAGCCAATAGATGTTCTTAAATTGAATCAAACTATTCTTCAAGCCAACTGAACTTATTCTTATTTTTGTTATTAGTGCTTTGCAACTAAGATCACTTTTATTAGATAAATGCTAATTTCATTAATCTTTACTAACATTTAGTGAAGAAAATACAATGTGTTCCAGATGGAAAGAATTTCTTGAAAACGAAGAAACTGTAATTTAAGGTGAACTCTTTATATTTACTGTGTTCTATTAAAAGGAATACCTATTATATAGCTAAGAAACATTAAAATAGCAGTTCATATAATCCATTTTTGTTGGGAAAGGAAAAATAGCAAAGAGTGAAATGTATCCCATTGTAGAAATTTAAAAAAAAGGTTACTAAAAAAAATTTACTCTACTAATCTGAGAATAGTATTAGTACAGCCTTATATTTCACAACAAAGAAAATCAAATGTATAATTTAAGAGAGATTCAGTTTACATAAAAAGTGGGAACTGAGGGATCACAAATTTACATAAGTCACCTTGAATGTCAAACCCTTTGCTGGATGTTTTATAAATATTATCTAATTTAATATTTTAATACTCCTTTCTGATGAATATTACGGTTACTATTTTTGCTGAGAATAAAACTGAGGTTCAGGAAAACTATTTATAGAGAAAACTATTTATGAGAGCATAAAACTAGTACTTGACATCCAAAGCTAAAGCTTCAAGCATCCAAACTCATTAAAAAAACAGACTTTTTTCCAATAAATATGTAAAGCTATTGATATGCACACAAACATAGAGTATTGTCTGAAAAGCCTTTGTTTGGAAATTAAGTCCCAAAAATATTAAAATGCTTACTGCGGTTATCAGTCTATCAAGTCCAACTTCAATTGTTTACTGGAAAAACTAGCTCACGGATGATGTTTTACAGATGAACAATGTTAGCTCTGCTCTAATTACTTAAAAATGTATGTAATTATATAAACAAAGAGACTAATAATAGGAAATGATATTTGCATATTAATCTGCATTAGCAAGTGCTAGACCCACTTGTTAAAATACATTATAACAGAGAATAGAGACAAAAATATAAGAACACAAGAAACAACAGTGATATTTATAGTAAACTATGACTAAAATGAACTTTAAGACTGTTAGCATACTTCTATAAAGACTGAAACATCAAATAAAATGCTTTCTCACATCAAAATGTAAGTATGGAGGAAAAAAAGGAAGAAAATTACCAACCAGTAAGAAAACTTTTTGCTAAACATTATGTGATAAAATAAAATATATTGTCAACTAAAAAAGAGAGCTCTATATAGCTTCAACAAAATGAAGACATTATGTATGTCTAATGGTAACTCACAATTGGATATACAAAAATACTAAAGTTTAGATAATACCTGTGTTAAATTAAATTTTTACCTGTAAAGTATGATACAAAATAAAATTAAGATGTGCTCCAGATTGTGCTGGGGTGAGAAGATCCTGATAGGCTGGGTCTAGAAATAGGTGATGTTTGAGCTTCGAGGTGTTCAAACATCTCAATCCTCTTGCAGCTGACTAGTAGCATCAGGCCCAGAATCCAGCCAAGTCCACAGTCAGCTCAGTCAGGACCCAGACATAGGCTCCACTATCGTAGTCATTCACGTGATGGGCACAACTAGGACAGAGGTGGTTGCCAATACCTCTTCTCCAAGGTATAATCATTCAAAGAGTAAATATATATTGAATAGACTCTTAAGAGCCAAGCTCTGCTTTTGTTCTATTTGAGTCTCCTCAAAGGGGCTTATAATGAAATTCTACAGTTGCAATTTCAGCATCTGCATTTGCTCTTTCAGAGGTTTTTGAACGGGACATGTTGTATATAAGCCTGCTACTGGTTTCACTTTAGAAGGAACAAATACAAGATGGTGATAACTGTAACTGCTGGATTAACTCTGGGAATGCCAGCCACAGTGACTACAGCTGTTAACAGGTACCAGTTCAGGATTCAATAGGCCTATAGCAAATGCTGCACCATTTGCTATAACTCTTACTTCTACTTAGCTGGTGGTCTTGTTTCATCCACTCTGACATTGATACGGGAGTGCTGGGATGGGAAGAGTGTGGTCCCCTTAAATGATAAAGAAGGGGGAAGGCAAGTGCTTGGTAAGGGAGGGTGTGGTCCCTTACTAGGGTTTCATCCCCACTGAAGGTGAGGACAGGCATTTTTGTTGCATTTCCTAAGAACACTTTAGCCCACCAGGCCCCAATCCTGGGCCTATAAAAACCCGAGACCCTCGCTGGCTGACACACAAGCAGCTGGTCATCCGGAGGAGCACGCTGGCAGAAGAGCACACCTACAGGTACAGGCATGCTGGCAGGCCATCCACCGGTGGGATGAGGTGGACTTTTCCAGGGCAGTCGGAGGAGAGCTGGGGCTGCCAAGCATGGGGTGGCCTGACTCCAGGGGAAAACCATCTCCCTTCTGGCTTCCCCATCTTCTGAGAGCTACTTCCATTCAATAAAACCTTGCACTCATTCTCCAAGCCCACATGTGATCGGATTCTCCCCATACACCAAGCAAGAAACCCTGAGATAAAGTCTTTCTGTCCTTGTGACGAGTTAGAGGGTCTGATTGATCTGCTTAACACAAGCCACCTATAGACCTAAAAGAGCGCCCTGTAACACATGCCCACTGGGGCTTCAGCTGTAAACATTCACCCCTAGACACTGCCGTGGGGTCAGAGCCCCACAACCTGCCTGTCTGTTTGCTTCCCTTGAGATTTGAGCAGGGAGGCACTAAAGAATCAGCCACACCCCCATCATAAGGTGGTGGGACAAGGGAACCTTTCCTGTTTCAACATCAACTCTAGCAGCTCCCATGGGATTTACTCCAAATAATTTGTGTAGAACAATAACAACTACAAACACATCAGCAAATGTCTCTCTAAGAAAAGTCATTGCTGGCTTGGTCAGTTTGCTCTTCCAAAGTACAGACGCAATATCAAGACATGGGCAGGTTATAGGTATGACTTTGAAAACTGCTGTAGCTACTTCAGCTGTAGCCAATGAGGAACTAAGTGGGGTATATTTATTACCTCATAATATAAAAGACTGATAGAAAAGTGATAAAAGGATAATAAACCACTTAAGGACAAAAATCTTCCACATGTCAGGATATAAAAATTCTTGAGAAATTGTAAATAAACAGAAAATATAAATAAAAAGGAAAATATTAAAGCAATGATAAAAGTGTAAGAAGATATTAAGGTAGCAGAGCAGCTTCTGCCATTGACCGCCAGTGGATGAAAGAAAAATTCCTCCATATCAACAACTTGAAAATAGAAATTGCTCAGGAGTTAAATGAAGCAGACATAGCTCTCAGAACCTGGAAACTGCTACCAGGACTTCAAAATGAAGATACAACTTCTGCAGACTATTTCACAATCATGGCTCAGAAGTTTCAGGGGTAGCTTCAAAAGAACAGACAACAGATCGAATAACTAGCGCAAGAACCTTCTTGCCACTCAAGCAATTAGTTCTCGTATAACCCTGCAAGATTTATCAAGAGCTGCACAGAAAATATATGAACATTTGTAGCTTTGGCTGTGCGACCTTGGTCCATTATTAAACAGGTAAAGGTATTCAAAGAACAATGTCTTCAGCACAGAAAAATGTTGGGAAATGCTATAAATGTGTTTGAAGCCAGAAAACAGAAGCCAAGAGGTGGCAGAATGCACGCAGTTATGACCAGACCCACCCTTTTCAGAAACATGCAAATGAAGCCGCCTTCACCCCAACACTTAGCAGCCTCAGCTGGTAGCAGGGTTTCAGCTGTTTCTAGGGCTTAGTTTGGTACACATTCCACTCAGTTATTGGCAGAAAAAGTACCAGCAAGTCCACATTTGGATTTGGAAAAATAAATAAACCTTCAGAAATCTTAGTGCAAGCTTGGCAGCTCAAATAACATCTGCACTTAACTTCAGCAGTTCTGGCATCACAGTACCCGTTGGTTGGACATACAGTATGTCTAATCCTGTCTCTGCAGGTTTTGGAACAGGAGGGCAGCTCTTTCAGTTGAAGAAACCTCCAAGTGGAAACAAAAGAAGAAAAATGGTAAATATATGAGTTGATGTATTATGAGAATACGTTGTAACTGTTTGTTCTGCAAATCTGTTTTTCTTCTTTTTTTTTCTTTTTTTTTTTTTTTTTTGAGAAGTCTCGCTGGATCGCCCAGGCTGGAGTGCAGCGGCGCAATCTTGGCTCACTTCAAGCTCCGCTTCCTGGGTTCAAGCCATTCTCCTGCCTCAGCCTCTTGAGTAGCTGGGTAGCTGGGACTACTGGCGCCCGCCACCACGCCTGGCTTTTTATTTTTATTTTTATTTTTTTTATTTTTTTGTATTTTTAGTGGAGACGGGGTTTCACCATGTTAGCCAAGATGGTCTCAATCTTCTGACCTCGTGATCCGCCTGCCTGGGCCTCCCAAAGTGCTGGTATTACAGGCGTGAGCCACCGCGCCTGGCCTGAATCTGCTTTTCTAAAGTGACACAGTAATTAAATTACATCCCAGAAAATTTATAAAGTTTTGATATTTTTCCTTACTCTAGAATTTAAACTCTATTCACATTCGCATGCTGAATAACATTTTTCTTGTGAATATAAAACGTAGTTGTGTATTTTTCATTTTGCAAAATAAATTCTAATAACATCTCTGACCAGTAAAACCTATTTTTAACCTAGTGATAATAGCTGTGTTTTTGTTCATAAAAGTGACACTGCTACATAAATACATGCATATTTGTTTCTTGTACAGATGAAATGACCTCTAGTGTTTATAATAGAATCAATTTGTTCTTTAATATAAAGACCTCTTGAACTACACTAATGGACATCTTTCGTACAGAATAATATCCGCATTTATGCAGGCATATAAAATATATATTTATAAAACACTTTCTACAACCTATTTTCCTCTCCTGAGGGTACTTCATTTTTTTTACATTTTGAAATTTAAATCTTCGGTGCACGTAGAATGATGAACTAGAGCTACCAAGTCATAGAATTTGTTTGCTTAAAATGTGTTGAAATAGTTATTGGCCTAAATGTTCGGCTGACTCAGCTGCATTGCATCTACTCTATTCCGCTTGTGTTTCCAGTTTGACCTGTGGCAGTCTATCCAAATGCTGTGAATCTTGTCAAATCAACTTTTTTATCCTGCATTGATCAACTTTAGAACATGTATATGAAGTAATTTATTTATTTATTACCATTTATGTTAAAAGCCAAAGGGCCTTCGGGGCCAATGTGCTTCCGCGCTTCAATTTGTCACGATATTCTACTACCACTACCCCAGATCCCTCTCCTATTACCATGAACATTTAGCATTGGTGTAGTTTAGAAAAGTCAAATATTTATATAGTTCAGAACACTATACTTTCTTATACTGAAGGTGAACTTTCAGGAGTATATCTGGTCTACTCAAATTAACTCAATGCAGTTAAAGAATGCACTACTTAGTGGAAATTTTACAAGCTCTTCCAATGCAGAGCAATTTCTTAACTGGTTATTGAGATTGACACCAAGGAGAATGGTTTATCTGTCTCTTAATAACTGAAATAGAATAGAGAAACAATTCATGTAAAAAAACTGTCTATTGTGCCAACTATAAAATTTTCCTAGTGTTACCAGTGATTAGAGAGCCAGATAATAATGTGCAGACACGTCAGGCTGCATCTGTGTAATATGCCTACAAAAAGCATTAATAAGAGGAGAGTGGCTGGAAAAGAGAGCCCTTTCAAAGAGAATGGCCTTACCTTTGATTTAAGAGAGAAGTAACTAAATCGATCTATTTACCTTTCAAGTTCAGTTTCCAGATGTAATTTCACCATAGAACGTCATTGAAAGTGGTTTAATTTTTTAACATAGGTTTCATATATAATATTTATCAAGTAAATACTTTCAATATCATTTTCTCTAAGGCCTTATTTTTCTAAGAGATATTGTGCATATTTATACATTTTTTACACTTCACATGCATAAAACATTAGCTGGTTGTTATTATAAAAGTGTGGTAAAATTCTGTTTTATTTTTCTGCTTAGAGCAATGATTGGCTTTTTTAAATGAATTTTTTTATCTTGATGCATTAAAATAAGAAAAGATTTGTTTCTGAGCACTGAACTTTTTTTTAAAAACAATGCTTCTCAATTATCACAACCCCCAAGTCCAGATTCCAGAAAATCGCACCAAAAAAGTTTGAATTTGTGTTTTGTGAATTTCTGTGAGAATTAAGTAAATTGTCACATCAACATTTTTTTACATTGGTAGGCATAAATCCAAATATATTTCCTGCCTTTTCATCTTCAGATAAGTTGGCATTTTGATGTGTCAAACCACTAGAAATCAATGTTTGTGAAGGAGTTTAAATGGGTTGTCATTGTCCTAATTGTCTTCACTTTGTCCAGAGTCTACTATTATGTGAACAATTAAATTTAGTATAATTGGTCTTTAAAAAATAAAACTGGCATATTTAGAGCAGACCTATTAAAGGATTTAAAAGTTATTGAGATAAATTGTGCTACCTCAACACGGCTTTAGTATCCTCACTTTCGGGTGATGTAGAACTCATCATAATGATCTATCTCAATGACCAAAGGACCTTCGGGGCTGAATACTTGAGCAATTCAATTTACCACAATATTCTACTACCAGCACCTCAGATCCCCTTACCATTACTATGAACTGTTAGCACTGCTGTACCACAGAAGAGTCAAAGAATTATATAGTTTAGAAAACTATACTTATCTCAAAGTGGTATATCATTTAACACAGAAGCACCTAATTTCCGTTACAAATTCTACAACCCTCAAGGGCTCTTGACATCTTCTGACATTCACTATGACATCTGTTCCAGAGGGTATTGCTCCATATTCCCTTGTGTCAAAATTTATATAACTTCTCCATATGGCTGATGAATTCAAAATCATCTGTGACAAAATGAGTATGGGTTATCAAGGGCTATCTCCCTCTCTTCCCCCTTTGGCAGATAACAACTTGCAAGGTTACAGAAAGCTGTAACATGGTCTAGTTCTGCATAATCATGGTGAAGAAATTACCCAAAGCAACTTGGCCTCCCGATTCCTGCTGTCCAGAATAGTTCTCCCATTTCCATCTGAAGTCACTCTCAATATATGCAAAGTTTCACTTTCAATTAGGAATGATCAAGGGAACCACAAAGCAGTGCCTAGCATACCCTCCTCTGCTAAATCCTAATAAAGACAGATAAAATGGGGTTTTCTCCTGCCAAAGCATCAGGACTCAGGTGCACAGATAGGTTTTGATTAGAGAAAGTAGAAGGACTTTGTAATTTATGTTACAAGGGAAATGGAGCAGAGAGTCTGACTGGAGACTAACTATGGAGAGCGGGGTCAGGGGTGAGTAAACCTGCTGAGTAAACAGGGAAATCATTGCTTCCCTACTCTATTTTCTCTGTAACCAGCCTTCTTATCTGTTCATTCATTCATTCCACAAAGGTTCATTTTTTATTATTTAAAAATTATCTTAATACGTGGATATCAGAGCAGTTGAATATGTCACTATAATTGTTCTGTCATTGGTAAATAATTTTTTAAAAATTTTATAACATTCACATTAATGTGTGTGAATCACTTCAAGATTTCATTTAGATACACATTGTGTTTTAGGTTAATATAGGGGACCTGAGTTTTCTTTCTTTTTTTTTTTTTTTTTTTTTTTTTTGCGGGGGGATAGAGTCTCGCTCTGTTGCCCAGGCTGGAGTGCAGTGATGTGATCTTGGCTCACTGAAATGTCTCCCAGGTTCAAGCGATTCTCCTGCCTCAGCCTCCCCAGTAGCTGGGATTACAGCTGCCTGCCACCACACCCGCCTAATTTCTTTTTTGCATTTTTAGTAGCATATTTTCCTTTTTAAATCTATTTTCTGTTTATTTACAATTTCTCAAGAATTTCTATTCTTGAGAAAAAAGGAAGATTTTTGTCCTTAACTGCTTTGTTATGCTTTTATCACTTTTCTATCAGTCTTTTTATATTATGAGGTAATAAATATATCCCATATAGTTCCTCATTGGCTACAATTGAAGTAGCTACAGCGGTTTTTAAAACTGTAGCAAAACTCAACATTATAAAGGAAGAGATAAGAACCATTTCAAACTGTGAGAGTAAAAGAGACGAAGTCTAGGGATTTTCACCAATTTGGGCGTAGTTTTCAAAACTCCGTCAGGGGAAATCGAGCCTCTTACCTGGAGGAATGAGAGACAGGTGGCAGGGTTTTGGAAAAGAGGCAACCCAACAGTTTCACATTTGCACTCACCTTCCGGAATCCTGGGCGAAGTCCCAGTTGAAACAGGAAAAGTTCCCTTATCCCCCTCGCAGGGCTTGTGGTGGGGTGTGGTTTGCTTCTTCGGTGCTCTGCTGCAGCAGCTCAAACCGCTAGGGGAGCATGCAGACGGGCAGGTCGTGGGGAGCGTGGGCTCTGGCCCCACCCCACGGCAGAGTCTAGAGTTGAGTGTTTACAGCTCCTGAAGCTCCAGTGGACATGTGTTACAGTGTGTGTCTTTCAGTTTAACAGTCCGCAGGCAGCTTGTGTTAATCAGCTCAATTAGATCCTCTGCCTTTATCGTAAGGACAGAGGGCTTTCTGTATCCCGAGGTTCTTGCCTTAGCCTACTGGAAAAAGTCGTATCGCATGTAGGCTTGGAGGATGGGTGCAAGGTATTGAATTGAGTGGTGGTAGTTCTCGGAGAGGTGGAAAGGGAGGCCAGAAGGGTGATGGAGTGAGAAGGTGGTCTTCTCCTGGGGTTGGGCCTCCGACCGCCCTTGGACGAGCTGCGCGTTGTCCCGCCATAGATGGCCTGCTGATGTGTTCTGCTGCTGCTGTATTCTTCTGCTGGTGTGTTCTTCTCGACATCCAGCCGCTTGTGTCTGTGCCCGCTAGGGTCTCGGGGTTTTTAGTCACAGGATGCGGGCGTTGCAGGCCAGGGTGGTCTTAGATGTTACAACAGTTGGGCATGAAAACAGGAGTGCCTATCCTCACCTAGGTCCATGGGCCCAGTCCTGAGGGTGGAGCCCTCGCCAGGGAACCT